TCACTTTCCTCTCTCTCCAACTTCACCCTTTTCTGGGCTTTCCTGTAGCCAAAGTGGAAGTACTTTCCATCCAAGCAAATCTGTCAACCCCAAAACCCTCAGTAAACTCTGCACTGTCATATACAATAGCCATCAGTCACGAGAGGCTACTTAAATTTAAATTTGTACAAGTAAATAAAATTTAACTTCACCTCCTCAGTCACACCAGCCATATTTCAAGTGATCAACAGCCATACGTAGCTAGTGGCTGCCACACTAGGCAAAACAGGTCTAGAACATCTCACCACCGTGAAAAGTTCTATTGGACAACCCCAGTCTATATCCTCTCATATCACTTTCCCATCTGCCATTCATATTCATATTCATATTCTCTTCATAGCCAGGCTTCTTTAAATAATAGCTTATACCCACTCTCAAATTCTTTACTGTTAACTTCCTCAGCCCTCACCTACCTCCTGGGTCCCCCAAACACCATCTAGCCAATATCCTACAAGCATTTCCAACTTAGCGAAATGAAAATCAGATTCCATCTCTGCTCCCTAACCACACACTCCTGCTTCTTCTCCCAGTCCCTGTGTAAAAGTCGCCAACAAGCTCCCCAATTACCCAATCCTGAAACTTGGGACCTTTCCTCAACCTCTCCCTCACCCTCACACCTCAGAGTCAATCGGTCACAAAGCGCTGCAGACATTACCGACTCAGTGTCTCCGCTTCTTTACTCCTAATGTCACTGCTCTAGTTCCCATCACCTATGGACTAGACAATGGCCTTCCTGCCTCTGGTCTCCGTCCCCTGTAATCTCTCCCCACACCACGAACAGGTTACTCTTCTAAAATACAAATCTGACTATGTCTCTTCCTATTTAAAACCCTTCACACATCAGGATAAAAATCTAGATTCCTTAGCACAAGATACAAGGCTTTCCAAAGCATGATCTTTGCCTACCTTTCCCATAATCTCCATCAGCACTCCCCACAAAGCCACCTCAAATTAACCCATGATAGAAGGTAAAACACTGTGCTTGCTGAGAAGACGCAGCCAGGTCATCCCTTAAGTTTACTGATGCCATTGCAGAAACAGCAACTGGAAAACTCACACTGGGAACACCACCCGGAACATCCTTCGACACCCACCATATAAAGTCTTGTAGGATGACTTTCAGAATTTGATAAGATGAAAAATTGCTCTAATGCAAGACGATATTCTTCTGCTTTTCCAGTTATAGCTGGAAAATAGCATAAAATGTAAAAATAGTATAGTATATTTGGAAAATATATAACTATCAAATGGAAAACAGTATAGTATAGCTGTAAAATAGTATACCCATTTTCACCTTGACTGACAGAAAGTTTAGAATAATTGCATTTTCTTTTTTTCCTTCCTAGTTTGCCTGGTTTTGAATCTTATCTTCAACATTTATTGCCTAGGTGACCTTGGGTGAATTATTTAACTTCTCTATGCCTCACCTTTCCACACCTACCGAGTGTGGTTGATAATACCAACCTTCCAGTGTCGTTCTAAGAACTCTGAGACAGTATGTGTACAGGGCCGAGAGCAGCGCCTGCTGCCCTGTGAAAGTCCCAGAACGATTAGCTCTTGATTGTCACGTCTGGCAACCACCATTCTACCTTCTGTTCCCATGAGTTTGACTATGGATACCTCATATAAGTGGAATCGTACAGTACTTGACTTTTTGTGACTAATACAATACAATGTCCTCAAGGTTCATCCATGTTATATAGAACGTGATCGGATTTCCTTCTTTTTTGAGGCTCAATAATATTCCATTCACATTTTGCATATAACACATTTAGTTTATCCAATTCACCCATCAATGGATTTTGGGTTGCTTCCACCTCTTGGCTATTGTGAGTAATGCTGCCATGAACATGGTGTGTAAATATCTCCTTGAGGTCCTGCTTTCAATTCTTTTGGATATATACCCAGAAATGAGATGGCTGGATCATATGCTAATTTTATTTATAATTTTTTGAGTAACCTCTAAACTGTTTTCCATAATAGCTGCACCATATTACATTCCCACCACCAGTGCACAAGGGTTCCAATTTCTTCACACCCTCGCCAACACCTGTCATCTTCTGGTTTTCTGATAGTGGCCATCCTAATGGGTATGAGATAGGACACAGGTAGTATTCAATAAATATTTGTTATGTCTAGATATACTGAGGCTACATGGATAAAAAGCTATAGTCTCTATCCTCAAGAAGTTGCTAGCATAAAGGGGACAAAGACTGACACACAAAGGTTTGTGCTACATGTCTACATGGCAGATGGAAGGAACAGACAACTCTCCCTGAGTTGGGGGCAGGAGGCATGGTGGTGGAAAGCCATCAAGGAAAATCTCAGAGTAGGATACTTAAGTTGGATCTTAAGGAAAAACAGGCATTCAGATACAAAAAAATGGGAAGGACATTCTAAATGTAAGGAATAGTATGTTCAGGCAGATAGAGTATGGACGGGCAAGGCTCCTTTCAGCAGAGAAATTTGGTGTGAACTGAATATGGACTCTATGTGAGAGGTTACTGAGAAATGAAGCTAAAGAACAGACTGAAGTCACATGACCAACAGTCTTATGAACCAGACTAAGAGGGTTAGACTGTATCCATTAAACGGTTTTAAGCCAGAGAGTGCCAAGGTCGGATGTGCATTCCTGAGAGCTCAATCAAGCAGCAGTGTGCAGAATGACCATGGGGCCCTGGGCTGGGCAGTCAGTTCAGGGAGGAGGCTAATGAAGCAGTCAAAGCAGGAGACGGCAGGGGCCTAAAGCAAAGCAAGAACTGTGGACAAAGAGAACCAGGAGAGGGCTGTCAGCAGGTAGAAAAGGCACAAGGGAAGAGGTCTAAGAAGGGGAAAGAATTTATGCCCACTCTTCAGGGAACAGACGAAGTTTGAGGGGAAGACGACCTGTTTGCTTTTAGACAATTAAGTGTAGTGCCCAGTAGGCAGTTAAGTATATGAGTCTGAGATTCAGGGGAAAGATATAGATTAGACATATATATTGAGAGTCATCAAAACAAAAAATAGTGAATCTTACTATCTAAATACCACCCTTTCTTACATAAATCTAGCGTTCGGAAAAAATAGATGCCTTAATGTAGCATATCCCGTTTCTCCTAACAGAGCACGTTATTCTACATATCTCATAACATACTGGATGGTTTTCCTTTTTTACAAAGATTAGATACTCCTCTGAGTCTACCAACATGTCATCTCAGAAAAAGTGGATAATGATAGCCAAATTCCCGTCGCTTTCTCTTTTGCAGCTTTGAGGGTCAACAGTAAGGGCACGTGGTTGGAAACATCATCAAGACCACCTTATAATTTAAAGTCTAAAAATAGCGCCTCGTTTATTTAGTCAAATATCTAATATGTTATTACTCTGCAAAAAGTATTCTAAACACAGTTCTAATAAGAACACGCACATACTATTCAGCAGGCAGGCATGCAATTTAATTGTCTTTAGTTTGAATGTGGAATTTAACCACAAATTAGGTATCAAGGATTTAAAACTAAACAAGTTGAGAAAACTTAATTTATACACAATTATCACCCTTAGTACTCTGTATTTCATTACCAGGACTTATAAATACAAACAACGATGGCATGTGGGAAAACGAAATTTGCAGCCTATATTCATCCACTGACTATGTTCTGTTGACTGTGACGTGAATGTTAGATATTGGAAAAGTAACTCCTTTCCTGGGACCAGGTGCTCTGGGCCTCCTCAGAGAGAATGACCAGTTAGTCTGTCCACAGCAACAATCTAAGGGACCTACAAGGGCTTCACTGTAGGGTGCAACCCTGGACCAAACCTTAATTCCGCACTCCTAAACTCAGTATCTTCTCCACCAGGGTTAAGTCCCAAGACTCAGAGAGTGAAGCAGAAAAGTCCTATCTTAACAATGAGGAAAGTGCTGGAAACTGAATACTTGTGGCCCTCCCCAAAATTCATATGTTGAAACCTAATCCTCAATATGACAGTATTTGGAGGTGGGGCCTTTGGGAGGTGACTAGGTCATGAAGGTGGGGTTCTCGCTAATGGAATTAGTGCCCTTATAAAAGAGGCTCAGAGAGTTCCCTGTCTTCCACCATGTGAAGACACAGCAAGAGGGCACTCCATGAACCAGGAAGCGGGCTCTGCTGCCACCTTGATCTTGCACTTCCCAGCCTCCTGAACTATCAGAAATATATGTCTGTTGTATAAGGGTCAGTCTACGGTGCTTTGTTAGAAAAGCCTGAACTGACTAAGATGGAAGGCTACAGGTTAAGTCTTAATTGCCAGAAGTGGTTAATATTTCTCTCTTTAATGTACCTATGAAACTGAGAAGACCTGAAGTTCCCGGGAGTTAGCCTTAAGCATTAGAGACTGGGATGCTCCTGCTTAGTGTCCTGAGAAATTCCTGGAGCAGAAACAATCAACACACTCCTGATGTCAGGCAGGTGTCCACAGGGTCCTGGCTGGTCAAATCTACCACCTGAGTTGGGCTAGGCCCACCCCCTTTTTGCCCCCAACCACAGGGCACGGAACACCTTCACCCCACACAGCCACCACAGTCTGCTCAGAAAGGCAAACGCTCTCTCCCGAAGCTCCAGACAAGCACACGTGGGTCCTCCTGACATCCCTTCCAACCGCCCCCTTCCCTGCCTTCTGGGCACGCTTGAACTCCTAGCATACAGGTGAACTCAAGAGCTAAAAATTCAACACAAAGATTTTAAAATCTGTTCAGTCTCTAGTAATTAAGGCAGGATAAGACATTCCAGTCTGTCCGCTTGTAAGTGGAAAAGCATACACAGACACAATGGCAAAAAGTGACAGAGATTCATATAAGTTTTCAATATTTACCAAATTTCTACAATGAACATAAAATACATCATAATAAAAACATAAGTTATTTTAAAACTAAATTTTACACTGGTTAAGAAAACAAAATAATATCTTCCTAAGAAGACATAAATAAACTTGGAATCACTTCACTTACCCTCTGCTCAGGGTTCTCCTGGAACAGAAGCCCAAAGTAGTCCTTCTCCAGGAGATTGAGATGTTCGCACACTTTGTCAAATAACACCTGGCCCTTCGCGCGTTTCTGAGGGGAAAGAGAGAATATCTTCAGTTGTCAGGCACTCAAGATTCCGGGAGTACTGTAAATAAACGGCATCATATCAGATAATGTTATTTAGCATAAACGAATATAAAATATTTGTTTTCCAATCTTCTTTCATAATAAAGTGATGAATACCTTTCTCACTTTAGACTCCCCCCCACACACACAGACACACGAAGCACAGATTCTAAAATGAAAGCATCATCAGACAGATGCTCTTCGTTTTACTGCTTCTCCATGTCCATATAAAAAGAACTAAAAAAGCAAAACGCCAGGAGTTCATTTATTTATTTATTTATTTTTTTAAAGTGCAAATGTACTTAATGCCACGGAACTGTAAACTTTTTTTTTTTTTAAGATGTTTTTCCTTTTTCTCTCCAAAGCCCCCCCAGTACATAGTTGTATATTTCGTTGTGGGTCCTTCTAGTTGTAGCATGTGGGACGCTGCCTCAGCGTGGTCTGATGAGCAGTGCCATGTCCGCGCCCAGGATTCGAACCAACGAAACACTGAGCCGCCTGCAGCAGAGCGCACGAACTTAACCATTCGGCCACGGGGCCAGCCCCCTGCAGTTCATTTATTTTTAAAACAGCACAAAAGTACATCCAAACTGCCTCCTCCATTCCTCAAGGTGGCTCCCGTCACTCCACAGGCATCCTCCCCCGGGGCAATCGGTCAGCCCTGTTCCTCAAGGTACCCTGACACCCTTTATCCCCTCGGCATTCAGGTTTGATTTTTATTCTGTGATATTTGTAGAATAGAAGTTTTTTTTCAATACAAGTTATGCCTTTTCTCGAGAATGATATGGCATTCATTCTTTAGAACAAATTTTAAAAATACAAGGTAATGAAACTGGGATAATAAATCAGCTGCCTCCAAGGATTTAACATATTTTTTGCCTCAAACAGTTTGTTGTGTTTTGTTTTTAATTTCAGAAGCTGCTATCAACAGAGATGTAAAAGCCTTTGACAGCCACAAGAGAAAGCCCGTTCTCTGATCAATGGCAAACATGAAGTGGCACCTCATTTCCAATTAAGATGCACATCCCTGGGAACGCCCCCCTGAGAGAGAGAGAGGTCAGGTCACACACGCCTCCTGTCTCCACACTGATGTAAGCAACCACTAGACCGCAGAGGGAAAAGTGAACAAGCCACCAGACATTCTTATCCTTAAGAGGGATGCCCTCACACCACCAAAATGTGTACTTGTTAGTTCATCCAGGGTGTGCAAGTTAATGTTTCCCACACATATATCTTTAAAAACGCAATCAGATATAAAAAACATTTCAATTCTAAGTAAGTACAACTCGGACAAGGAGTTTCAAAAGATAAGCCTTCATGGAAACAATGCCAGTGCTTGTTTCTCTTACTCTTCCTTCCTCCTTCTTAAGGCAGCAGAGGTAAGAAATCCACGCCGGAAAGACTCGCGAAGGAGAATATGAAACTTTTACTATCAAATCCTCTATAGCAACGTTTCTAAATACATACGTCCATATCACATCAAATACTAGAGGGAGGAAGCCACACAAAATACAGTATTTCAACAGAACAAGCGATGTACTGTCCAAATCCTTAAAGATTGAGAAAATTAAATTACAAAGGACATTTAAGACAGATATGTGCTCATCTGTCCCCATACTTAAAGTACGCACACATATAGCACACTGAATAAGAGTATTGGGCTCTGGGTTCCAAATATCAAAGTCCTAAATACAGTTTCATTATTTACAAGGTATGTAACCAAAGACAAGACACAACTTCTATGTGCCTTAATTTGCACATCTGTTAAACGGAAATAAGAGAATCCACCAAAAAGGTGTGGTGAGCACTAATGAGCTGTAACACATAAGGAGAGCTTAGAACAGTGTGTGACACGTGGTGAGTACCTTAAATTAACTTTTTGAGAAGAAGGTGACTCAAACCACAACAGTTACTTTCCTAAATGTGCAATAAAAACCCACTGTCTCTTCTTTATAGGAGCCGGAAGTAGATGTGAGGAGACGTGACTGCAAATAATAGCAAAGAATATTTTAAAGGTAATCAGTAATCTAAGAGAGAATTCGCTTTCTCTGACATTAATTTCAACCACATTGTTCACTCCTGATCCTCCAGTGAGTGGAAGACTGCCCAGCATAAGAGGTGCTCGAAAAATACTTGTGTAATCAACTGGAAAAACATTACAGTGTACTATATGTGACACACTTATTTTAAATGATGTGACATTAACGTGCTCAGGCTCAGTGACTGACTATAGCTATAATTTCAACACCTACTTTGTAATTAGAACTTTCCTTATCTGAGATAACAAAGGGAGCAAACTATTACAGCTCCTGTCACATCTATCTACTTGGACATCACTCACTGTTCATTTATAATGAGGCAGAAACGAGTCACAGAGGACATCTTATCTACTATAAAGCAGAGATTATTTAGAAAGACACTAAGAATTCAATGGAAGTTAACATAAGAAGTTGACATTTAATCAGATATAGGTCCAAAATAAACTTATCATTTCTATGAAATCTGTCTATAAATGACAACTACTTTCAAATAGGCTAACTACTGCAACTAATTAGCTGTAGACATTGTAAAGAAATGTGACAGAGGGGCTGGCCCTGTGGCCCAGTGGTTAAGTTCATGTGCTCCGCTTCGGTGGCCCAGGGTTTCGCCAGTTTGGATCCTGGATGCGGACACGGTACCGTTCATCAGGCCATGCTGAGGCGGCATCCCACATAGCACAACCAGAGGCACTCACAACTAGAATATACAACTATGTACTGGGGGCTTTGGCAAGAAGGAAAAAAAAAAGGGAATCTGACAGTCAAAAGGGGATTCATACTATTTTATTTGGTGATAATGCTATTTGAAATTAGAGTAAAAAGGATATTTAAGATAACTGATGTCTATAAATACATACCTAAGTTCAGAGAGAAAGCACATTTCAACACTGGCTTTAAGTCAATTTTTATTAATGAATCATACTTTCTCACTGGTTTCTATTTCAAAAATAGAAATATGCTCTCATGGACAGAATTCCCCGAAAAGATTGGGAGAAAAACATCCACAAAGCTCACAATTCGGTGGTGGTATGCGGCCAGCACAGGGGCATCTGCTGGGGGCTGAGTCTGTCCCATTCCTCCCTCACTCAACCTTCTGTAAGCACTTTGCTATCACTGGACACGTGTGACAGCGGGCAAACCACTTCGTCTCCTCAACTGAAAGATGAGAGCACAGCTATCTCGCAGTTCACTGTGAGGGTCAAACTAACCCAATGAGATAATACACGTCCAAGCGCCAAACCCAGGGCCTTGCCCAACCACAGCTGAACTGTGCTCCCAGCTGTTCTTTCACCAGCACACATCTAACAAGCAACAAAGTCTCTTCTAGATGCTCAGACTGCTGCTCTCCTATTCTCTCCTTTCCTCTCCAGGAAATAGAGATTTTAAACGCTTGATAAGATCTGACCTGCACACACATGTTACTTAAGCTTCCATTCCTCAATGTTCATCTCTACCCTCAATAAACTCGGCTGGAAAGACAAACATGCACCAATACTGTGAGGATGTGCTGAAAGATGCATACAAAGACGCATTAAGGTGCAATGGGAACACCAAGAATGGAATGATCACAGTGTCTGAGAAAAACAAAAACCTTGGCTTCACCGAGACTATGGCACCTGAAATGAATCTTAAAGCACGAAATTTTTTTTAAGGCAGAGAAACAGTGTATTCAAACGAACTTATTTTTCATGTTGACTGTTTATAGAGTCTGACAAAGCCAATTTCTATTCAAAAGACACTGGAGGATTCAGTAAGATGAAAAAGTAACCCATCCATAACGGACATGCCATGCAGTGTGACCGCTAGTTATACTGTCCTACTCTCAGATGACCGCAAGGGCATGCCAGGCCTAAAGGCTCAACATGTACTTATCCAGCATCTAAGAAGTGTCAGTTCGTATGTTAACACACTAGGGAAATAACAATAAATAAGACAGACATGGTCTCAGAACTTTACATTCAAATGACAGAGACAGAAAATAAAAAGGAAGCCCCTCCTGCCCCCCTATAAGTCCTATGAATCTGCTTATCTAGACATTACTAGGTACCTGGTCCAATTGGTCCAAAGAACACTGACCAAGGGTCTACAAGATAACCTGATACAAGAGGTCAACCCAAAGACAATGTCTGACTCTGGGGACGAAGATTACCAAATACAAGCTCATCTTCCCCTAGGGAGTTCAAATACAACATAGATACACACACATACTTATGTTCACACATGCACGTGCACACATACACACAGTCATAGAGCAGAGGGGTGTAAACACAGGGAAAGACAGTGAGAAGGCAGTGCAGAAGTCAAGGGTACCAGGAGACAGACCCGAATCTGTCAAAGTATGTTCTCCATTGGTCCCACTGGTTCCACGAAATGCTCCACACATATACCCAGATCCCCCAAAAGGGGAGCAGAGTGAGACAAGGAAAATTCTTCTTAATGTAGGTAACTACTGAGCCTCAAAACTCCTATTTGCATATAAGATACCTTGAGAAATTCTACAGTAAAAAAAACCTGTTTCTCATCATTCAACCTAATGTTTCCCAAAATTATTTGGCCGAATAAACCACCATTTTTCTTTAATACAACACTTACTAACTTATTCCACAGCAGAATTACTGTTCTACAGACAATATGTCAAGAAATTAGGGAGAGAAAAATTACTATGATCTGACCCTCAAGCAGATCTGGAGACTGGCATTAACATTAGTGCCAAAACAGAGAATTCAGTTTAACCTAGTCCACTATTGATCGGATGTGCCCAGTTGCCTGGCTGAAGCAAATGATTCCCGTACATAAAATCCCAACAAATATAATCAAAAAATAAAAAAACACTAGGAAATCAGTCACTATTATTATTGAGCACTAGATACAATATCACAATCAGACCTTTAGAGACTGTAGACAATGGAATTATCAAGTACAGAA